TGCCTTTTCTGCATCTATTCATATAATCATATGGTTCTTTTATTTTGTTTATGTGGTGGATTACATTGATTGTTTTTCTAATATTTAAGCAACCTTGCATACCTGGTATGAATCTCACTTGGTCAGGATGTATTATTTTTTTGATATGTTGTGGATTCTGTTGGCTAGGATTTTGTTGAAGATTTTTGCATCTATGTTCATGAGGGATATTGGTCTGTAGTTTTCCTTTTTTAGTGGTTTCTTACCCTGGTTTTGGTATTAGTTTTATGCTTGCTTCATAAAATGAGTTTGGGAGCATTCCATCTTTTACAGTGTTCTGGAATAGCTTGAGTAGTATATGTGTCAACTCTTCCCTGAATATTTGGTAAAATTCTCCAGTGAAGCCATCAGGGCCAAGACTTTTTTTTGTGGGAAAATTTTTTATGACCTGTTCAATTTCTTCTTTTGTTATGAATCTGTTCAAGTATTCTATCTCTGAGTGGGATAGTTTAGGTAGGTCTCGTGATTCCAGAAACTTGTCCATCTCTTCTGGGTTCTCAAATCTGTTGGAGTACAGTTTTTCATAATATTCTGTCAGTATCTTTTTTATTTCAGTTGGTTCTGTTGTGATGATACCTTTTTGTTTACTATTCTTGTAATTTGCATCTTCTCTTTCTTTTCTTTTGTTAGATTTGCCAATGGTTTGTCGATTTTGCTAATCTTTTAGAAGAACCAGTTTTTTGTTTTGTTGATTTTCTCTATTTTTTTTTTCTGTTTCATTTATTTCTGCTCTGATCTTTATTATTTCTTTACTTCTAGATACTGTAGGATTCTTTTGTTGTTCTTTTTCTAGTTGTTGGAGTTGTTGAGTTAGAGTGTTGATTTTGTTTCTTTCCTCTGTTTTGACATATGCATTTATTGCTATAAATTGACCTCTGAGTGCTGCTTTTGGTGTGTCTCATAGGTTTTGGTATGATGTATCTTCATTCTCATTTGTTTCTAGGAATTTTTTTATTTCAGTTTGTATTTGTTCTATTACCCAGTAGTTTTTGAGCAGTGACTTGTTCAGCTTCCACGTTTAATGTCTTTTCCTTGATCTTCCTATTATTAATTTCTAATTTAGTAGCATTGTGGTCTGAGAAGATACTTTGTAGTATTTCAATGTTTTTTCAATTTATTGAGGCTTGTTTTATGTCCTGACATATGGTCTATTCTGGAGAAGGATCCATGTGCACTGAAGAAGAAGGTGAATTGTGCTTTTGTTGGTTGGAATGGTCTGTATATACCTATGAGGTCAAGTTGGTTGATTGTGTTGTAGAGTTCTTCTGTATCTTTGTTGAGTTTTTTCCTAGTTGATCTGTCCCTTCTTGAAAGTGGTGTGTAAAAGTCTCTTACTACTATTGTAAAGTTGTCTATTGTCCCTTTTATTCAATTAATATTTGCTTCACATATTTTGGAGCACTTTCACTGGGTGCATAGATATTTATTATCGTAATGTCTTCTTGGTCAATGGACCCTTTCAGCATCATATAGTGGCCTTCTTTTTCTCTTATGTTGTTTTTCACCTTTAAAATCTATTTTATCAGATATTAATATTTCCACTCCTGCTCTTTTTGGTTACTGTTGGCTTAGTATGTTTTTTTTTTCCACCCCTTAACTCTTAATTTGTTCTTATCATTGTGTCTAAGGTGGGTCTCTTGTAGGCAGCATATCAATGGGTCTTCTTTTCTTATACAGTCTGACACTCTTTTTCTCTTGATTGGTGCATTTAGTTCATTCACACTGAGTATATTTAGTGACAGGAATGAATTGATTGCTGTCATTCTATTGGTTTTTTTTTTTTTTTTTTTGTCATGTTGTTGGAGTATCCTTGGCCCATGTACTTTTCTGTGCTGAGTTCATTTTGTTGTGAAATGTTTCCTATCTTTTCTTCTTTATTGTTAGTTTTGTGCTTACTAAACCCATATGTTTTCCTTCCTTCTGGATTTGCTTAGGGGATTGTTAATTTTTTCTATCATTACCTTGGAATGAATTCTTGTCTCTTTAATTTTAGAACACTCTGTTCTATGAGGATATTGTCCTATTTTCCTTTTCATTTAGAAGTTTGTACCTAAAACTTTTATTCCTTCTATTTGGTTAGTTGCTGTTGTTGTGTGCAGATTGTGTTCCTTGATTTTTAGTGTACAATGTTTAATGGTCTTATATTGAGTGTCTATTCTGATTTGGTTTTAGTGTTGATGTTATGTGTCCTGATTTTTTTCTTCTTTGTTGTGGGTTCTCTATTGGAAAGACTTCCTTAAGCATTTCTTGTAGGGTTGGTATGATTTTTAAAAAATCTCTTAATTTCTGTTTGTCTGAGAATGCCTTGATTTTGTCCTCATATTTGATGGTCAATTTCCCTGGATATAGGATTCTTGGTTGGAAGTTCTTTTCCTCCAGTGTTTTATATATGCCGTCATATTGTCTTTTTGCCTGCATCGTTTCTGCTGAGTAATTAGAGCTCAGCCTACCTGTTTGATTATTATAAGTAATATTTCTTTTGTCCTGGGCAGCTTGTAAAGTTCTTTCTTTGTCTTTGGTTTTGGAGAGTTTGATTATGATATGCCACAGTGTTTTTCTCTTGGGATCTATCCTATATGGGGTTCTATGAGCTTCTTGGACAAAATATCTTTTCTTCCTTCATGAGATGGGGGAAGTTTTCTGTTAGTAGGTCTTCCACAATTTTCTCATGGTTTTTGCATTAGTTTTTGGCCTCTTCTTGTTCTGGAATTCCAATGATGTGTATTTTGTTTCTTTTCATATTGTCCCGTATAACTCTTAGGTTCTCTTCATTTCTCTTAAGTCTTTGTTATGATTTTTCTTCATACAGGCTGGTGTCCAAGGATTTGTCTTCTAGTTGGGAAATGTGTTCTTCAGCCAGGTCTATCCTATTCTTTTGTGCTTCCACTGTATTGTGCAATTCTGTAATTTTGGTTTTCATTTTCTGGATTTCTAACTGTTGTTTTTTGTATGAGTTCTGATAGTGCATTAATTGTTATTTTGTTCTTGAATGATTTTTCCTGAGTTCTTCCAGGGTACTGTCTGTGTTCTCCTTGCTTTTCTGTTTGGGGTTTCCTTAAGCTCTTGTAGAGTTCTATAAAATACCTTCTAAATTCCTTCTCAGATAATTCTATTGCCTCCTGTTCCTCCAGATTTAATGAGACTTTTTTTTGGGGGGGATTTTAGTTCTATTTTTTTATCCTGTTTTTTCATTTGATTTGAGGTTGCCTGTTGTTTCCTAGCCATTTTGAAGTTGTCTTTAACTGTTAGTTATGTATTGATTTGTTTTGTCTTGGTTTTATGATTTAATATTTTGAAAAGGTGGAGCTAGTGTATATTATTTTTTTGGCTATTAATTCAGGTGTGCTGGGTTGCTCTGCAGTTTTCTTTGTGATGATGGAATCACTGTGTGGAATGTGGATGCAGGTCTCTGTCATGAAGGGAATTTAGGATTCGAGCCAGCAGGTGCTTTGGTGCTTGAATGTGGTTTTTCTATTGCATGAGGCAGAGATGAGGCAGAGAAAGGTGGAAAAAAAGAGAAAAAAGAAAAGAAAAAAAGCTCCAAGGTGCCAGGAGCAATTTCTAGGACTTTGGACAGGCTTTTAATGAAGACATTATACTGTTACTCACAGGTCCACAGCTCAAGTTCAGCAAAGACTCCAAGTGTTAGGAGGCCACCACTTTCCACCAGGTTCAGACACATGCAAAACCCTGCTCTCCAGGCCCCTCTGTGCCAAAAAACTGACCTAGGATAACTGCCCTGATCTGCAATCTGCAGCAGCAGTTCGTCCCAGGGCACACCCACTTGTGACATCAATGTTCTCTGTTCCTGCTTCAGTGATACTGGAACCAGAGAAATCTGCTCCCACCCATTAGTCTCAAGTTTACTGATAAAAGAAGGTGCTGAAGGTAATCCAAGGAGTGGCTGAAGATTCTCTGGTGTGGTGTGTTCTCTCCACTGCCTCAGAGAAGTCTCTGAAGGCCTTTCCGCCTGCTGGTCGGTGCTCCACAGGGCAGATTCACCTGTTTCCGTTATTTTTTTCCATCCAGGTAATTGCACTGCCCCTTTCTCCTTTCTAATCCTACTCCTCTGAGTTTGGCATACTCTGACTTAATGAGCTGTTCAGAGCACCAGAATTGCCATTTCAAACTGCTACACCTAGTTTTTCAACCACTAAGATACTAGAGGGAACTAGTGTGTGCACACAGGAGAGATGCCATTTTGCAATCCTCAGTAGAAGATTTCTTAGGGACCTTAAAACAGCACTTCAGCCTAACAACTCTCCCCTTCCCCATACTGTGAGGTCCACACATCCTGTGTAATAATTTTCAGGCCTGTACATCTATAGTCTAGATGTGATTTTTGGAGTTACAGCATTGAACAGTACACATACAAAACATGATGGAGGAGGAGTAGAAGAAGAAGAAATGGGAGGAAAAAGAAGAGAAAAGGAAAACATTTTCATTTAGCTGCAATTCTAAAACAGAAGGAAACTTTTCCTCGCTTAGACAGAATTAAAAAAGCTCTGGTGACACTGTGGTTAAAGCATTGAGCTGCTAAACAAAAGGCCAGTGGTTCATACCCACCAGCCCCTCCATGGGAGAAAGATGAGGAAGTCTGCTTCTATAAAGATTTACAGCCATGAAAACCCTATGGCAGCAGTTCTACTCCGTTTTATAGGGTCACTATTAATTGGAATTGACATGCTGGCACTGGGTTTTAGAGCGCTTTCCTTCCTTACCAACTTAGCACTTAACTAGGGGGTCAGACCATGAGACCCAGTTTCTCAGAGACAATGTGGCATCACATCAACCACAATCTTCACATTAGTCTCCAGGCACTGTAATTCCAAGCTCATCCATGAAGATGTTCCACTAGAATGGAAAAGCCAGGTTTACTTACCTTCCAGTCCAAAAACTTGCTCAAAGAACTCTTCACCATATCTGCAATCTCCAAGGAGAAGAGCTTCAGAAGGCATAAACTAGTTACTGAAGAAGGGGAAAAGCTTCCTAAGGGCTGATTTGACCTCCTTGTTTCTCAAGGTATAGATTAGGGGGTTCAGGGTAGGGCTCAGCATAGTGTACAGCACTCCAGCGAACTTGCTCCTCTCTACACTGTAGCTGGAGACTGGGCTTATGTAGGCATAGAAGACAGCTGTGTAGTACATGCACACCACAATGAGATGGGAAGAGCAGGTGGAAAAGGCCTTCTTCTTCCCCTTTTTGGTCTTCATCTTTAGGATGCTGGAGATGATGAAACCATATGACACAAGGGTCATCAGGAAGTTCAATATACCATAAAAGGCATCAGCCAGGACAATCATGACACTGTTCACATAGGTGGAGCTACAGGAGAGAAGTAGCAGAGGTGGGACCTCACAGAAGAAATGGGTAATCAAATTGGGGCCACAGAAATTCAAGCGCAGCATCAGCCCAGTGTGCATGGCTGTGTTGAAGGCACAGAGCCCCCACACACCTGCAGCCAGCATACTGCAGAATGTTTTTCTCATCATGGTGCTGTAATGCAGGGGGTGGCAGATGGCTGCATACCGATCATAGGCCATAACAGTGAGGAGCAGCAGCTCAGAAGATGCAGACCATGTGAGGAAGTAAAGCTGGGTCATGCAGCCCCCAAAGGAGATGGAGCTCTTCTCAGATACCAGACCCTCCAGTGCTTTGGGCATAACAGTAGAGGTGCAGATAATGTCCATAGTAGCCAAGTTGAACAGGAAAAAATACATAGGGGTGTGAAGCCCAGTGTTGAAGGAGATGGCCAAGATGATGAGGACATTACCTGTGAGAGCCACAAAGTAGAAGGAGAGGAAACATCCGAATAAGAGCAACCAGTATTCTTGGTACTCTGAAAAGCCCTGTAGGATAAACTCTGTTACCATTGTCTGGTTACTCATAGTCCTGCAGATGAGAGGTGTTTTGGGGACTATCAGGAGAATCTCCACCCACAGCTTCATGTGATTTCAGGACTTGGGAGAGAAACAAAAGCTATCTCAGAAAGGCTGCTATAATGTTTCATTCATACCTAACATCACTGTTTGAACGATTTTATATAGACAGACTAGGACTTACTAATCAAGACAAATATACTAATAGAAGAATAGACAAAGGGACATAAATATGTAGGTCATAAAAAGCAAATACAAATGGGTAATTGCACTCCTGAAATGAAATTTGACCTCAGTCAAATGGCAGTGCATTTTTTGTCCACTATTTATCATCTCTTGTTTGGCAAATTTGAATAGACATGATAATGACCATCAGTGGCACAGGTGCAATGATGCAGGTCTTTTCAATATGTGTTCCATTTGAGCCAGAACTTTCACTTGTAGGAATTTATCCTTAAAAAGTTTAAGAATACCTTCAAGGTGTCACTGCAGCACTATTTATAATAGTCAAAATTTTAAAGTAGTCTGTATTCTGAAAAGTGAGCATATTAATATACTGGAGTGCTGTGTAATTATCAAAATTAATGCTTCAGGAGTATTTTATTAACTCTTATAAAGTAGAATGAAAAAATATTTTAAATAGTATGCACAATAGTATCCCATCTTATTTATTTATTTATTTAAAAGATGTAGGAAAAACATCAGGTGAGTGATAGATCTAACTTTGAATAGTGGAATGGATTATGGTTGATTTTTATCTCTTTCCTTGTGCTGATATATATTTTCTGAATATTCTATACAGTGACCTTTCTAAATGGCCAATAGATCACATAATTCTCTTAAAATTTCTTCAGTGATTCCCTGTTGCTGACACTGTGTCGCACTGGATTCTGAATTAACTTATATCCTGCATGACCAGTCTACTGACACCCTCCCCTTTGGTTGCTACATACACCTCATTCATCCCTTCTTGGCACCTAGGACCATGGCTGGCATGGAGTGTAGGGATGGACTCAATTACGTTAGTTGAAAGAATGCTAAAGAACAATCAAACACTAAATAAAAGCAGAATGCTTTCTATTCTCAAGACAGTACACATTCTGCATTGTTTTGGATCAAATCAGTATGGTACCACATTCACTTTCTCCTTCCTTTCAACTAAATGAGTTAAGAAAGATGTTCATTTCTAATTAAGAATTCTTCTTTCTTTCTGTCAAACTTCAAGAAATGCATTCACCACTAAAGTATTAAAAAGGTTTATATAAAATGATTGAACCTCAACTACAATTCAGATCATACCACCATTTCATAAGGTGAAGACAAGAGCTGTTCATGGAATAGCATGAAATTTCTCTGACTCAGAGCAATAAGCTATATTCAGGTGAATTCTCTTCAAAATGGTTGTAAATGATAAAATCCCACCTCTGTACCTTCCCAGAGGGAGCTCTGGTAGTGTAGTGTCTAAGGCATTTGACTGCTAACCAGAAGGCTGGCGGTTCAAACCCACCAGCCACTCCTGGGAAGGAAGATGGGGCAATCTACTTCCGTAGTGATACTGCCTTGGAAACCCAAGGAGGGGGTCACTATGAGTCGGGTCCAACTCGATGGCACTTAACAACATAACAACAACAACCTTCCAGAAGCAAATCATTAGGTCAGCCAAATTACAGTGGTGGATAAATAACATATTCTTTGATTTATTTCATTTTGTTTATGAAAGGGACAAAAGGATTGAATAATTACTTTTTACATTTTTTGTCCAGGAATTGTAGAAATAAATGTGCAATTTCATTTACCCCTCACTTCATCTCACTGAATGATTCCTGTTAAACTCCAGGGAATCCTATGAGACTGAAAATCTGAGGATGTATGTCTCAGTGTAAGGTTTCTGCACTTCCCACTAATGTCTTTCCTAGGATTCTCACCACCTGAACTCCTCCCTTTCCCCACAACATCCACTGTCCACCCATACCACAGTGCACATGACAAGCAAAACCAGAGACTCATACGACTGGACACAAATACATCCATTACCAAACACTACAAAGATGTAAGTGTGCCAGGTTTATCACACACTCTATTGGAGCATCAACAGAATCTATTACCAAGGAAACCTTAAACTGATCTTTCATTAATTCAGCTCCAGAATAATGATAGCAAAAATTTGCAACATAAATCATTTTGAACAGATGTTGAGTACAAGGATGTTTCAGGAAACTGATTCAAATTCATGGAGCAAATTACCTTTTCAGATAATTACCCACTTACTGTAAATTAACAAGGCAGGTGGACAGTCTACTCATACAATTAGTCAACAGGGAGAGCAAGGAATCAAGACACTAAAACTCTTACCATGAGACCACGAAATCTCTGTTGGACCTCAGCCAGTCATTTCTTCTTCTGAAAATAACAAAGAATTTTTTCCCTTGAGGTTCATAGGGTTTAATTCTCATCAAGCATCACAAGATTTTTACTAAGGAGGTAAAGGGGTGAAAAAACAAAAATTCAGGAAACAACTCCCAAGTTTAAACACATACTACATTCAACAACACAGTGACTCCCCATGGGGAAGATGATAAGACATTTAAATATTGATTATTTTCCACAATTATCATAACCATCAGTATCTAAATTTCAGGGAGAATAAAAATTCATCTTGCATGATTTTCCTCAAAAATCCCTGAAATTGAAACGTTCTTAATAGTGAGTTTTTCCCAAAATTCTGTTAAATTTTATGGGAAAACAGTTTACTTCTGGTAAAATTTTATATTAACTCCAATTTATTACTCAGAGTTTCACAAATGGAAAATTGTTAGTGTTTTAAGGTATTATAATTAATAATTGATAACTTGACTCCTTCCATTATTTTTAACCTTAAAGGGAATGTAGATTTTTTATAGTTAGCACATACTTAAACCAATACTCTTATATCATATTATGTAAACACACCTACTGAAAACTTATTTTAAAAACAGAAATCTGAAAATCAAAAATATCAAAATCTCATACATTAAGTTCTAAATATGGAAGACACTTTGGAGATCACCTCATCTAATCTATTTTAAATTCACAAAAGAGTCTAAGTGATGAACCACTAGTAACACACAATATTATTGGCAAAGCTATTCCCAGAGATTTGAGATTCCAGTCCATAATTTTTTGTCGTATAACTTAATAATTCCTTCTCTGGATCCAACTCAGTCAAATGTCAAAGAAAATTCAACAAAGAATTTATATGATCATTTATTAGGGGTAAGGTATGAAATGGGAACCCTAAACTCTCAGCCAGTTTTGGCACTCCAGTTAGCTCTATTTTTTCATGTACTGATCCAACAGTAAAATTTTGTTTTATTTGCTGTTGAGTTAATTCTGACTTATAGCCACAGTATATACAACAGAACAAAATACTGCCCAGTCCTGTGCCATCCTCACAATCCTTGTTATGCATGAGCCCATCATTGCAGCCACTGTGCCAATTCAGTAATAATACATAATGTAAAATCCACAAATGTTACTGATTCTAGACCAGCTAAACAAACATAAATAAATAATCCAGTCTTTTATGCAATTAATGATCCGAAGTAATCAGATTAAGTGTTATGAACAGAACTTTTCTTATCTTTTTTTATATCACCCAGTGGAATGAATTGTTCTCGGAATCTCACAGTTACCTTGGAAAAATTCTTTTACTTTTCTTGATCTAACAGATTTCATGTGTGGAAGTCCTTTCTCTGTCATCCACGATTGAGTTCGTAAACATGGTACACTGAAGTAGTTTGCTGTCTGTGACAAGATCAGTCTTGATGGGATGAAGGCTTTTTTCTCCTATTTAAGTTGATCTTGCCAAGAATTTGTGACTCATCTTCAGCAAAGTTTGCCACTGCCTGTGGGAGACACTTGGGAGAGATGTTCACAGCTATTACTCTAAGTGGACCCTGAAGGAGCAATTAAATTAAGTGTCTCTTTGTTGGAGACTTGTCTATTATCAGTGTCCACAAAATGGTCAGTTCAGACTTCTATTCAAACCTGCATAAAAGAGTATAATTCCGAACAGTGGGACACGGTGCAACCCTCTCCCAGCTCAGACTGTGGGGCAGGGAATACCAGGCTCTCAGAACTCAGAATAATGTGTTCATACACATGGGCTGGAGAAAGGATGTCCATTGGGCATCTAGATTTCCAGAGCGCCTTGTGTGAAGACTGAACAAAGGGATACTGCATGGATTAAAATCAGGAAAGATGGGTATCAGAGTTGTATCCTTTCACCATACTTATCAATCTGTATGCTGAGCAAATAATCTGAGAACCTGGACTATATGAAGAAGAGTGTGGCATCAGGCTTGGAGGAAGACTCATTAATAACCTGCAGTACACAGACGACACAACTTTGGTTGCTGATAGTGAAGACTACAGTCTGCAGTATGGATTACACCTCAACATAAAGAAAATGAAAATCCTTACAACTGGACCAATAAGCATCATCACAATAAATAGAGAAAAGATTAAGTTGTCAAAGATTTCATATCACTTGAATACAAATTAATACCAATGAAAGCAGCAGTCAAGAAGTCAGATGATATATTGTATTGGGCAAACCAATTAAAACCAAACTCACTGCTGTGGAATCAGATCTGACTCCTAGTGACCCCTCCTTGGTTTTTGGAGGAGGTATCATATGGAAGTAGATTGCCCAACCTTCCATCCAAGGAGTGGCTATTGGGTTTGAACCACCAGCCTTCTGGTTAGCAGTCAAATGTCTTAGGCACTATGCCACCAGAGAATCTGCTGCAAAAGACCTCTTTAAAGTGTTGGTGGGGAGTTCCGATAAGATGGTGGAATAGGCAGAAAGACTGCAAAGACCCTTTTCAACAAAGAAAAGGGAAACCAATTAACACAGACACAGAAGATAATCCTGGACCTCTGAGCCTTGAAGGGAAGGATATAGAAGTGGACTAAACTGTAACTAGCAGAAGAATTTCCGTGAAAATACCAAAAAAGGAGACATATGGAGCTGCAGTCTGGCAGCAATCCTGACAGCACAGACAGCTTGGGTATTGCTGAGTTGTGGT